CACAGATGTCCAATTGCTGAGACAGATGAATCACACTGGTAATCTGTAAGTGCAATAAAGCCACCCTTGACTTTGTAGAGAGCAGCTCATCTGTGTTCCACGTTTCCTGACCCAATTCAAGGAGGAGCTTTCCTCGGCCTCCCAGGGCACAGCCTCTTCTGCTGGTTCAAACCACCCACAAGGTGCCCCACTGCCCGGCATCCATGCTGCTCTAGGGCACACGTGCGCCCCGGACCACTTCCTCGCATCCCTCGGACCTGGCCACGTGCTGCTCTCTGGCCGGCTCGCCCAGGGGGGCACAGGGAGCTCTGAGGCCCCAGTGCGCACATGTGAACACAGGGGTGAAGTTGTTCTGCCCTGGTTTCTCAGGGGTTCTTTACATACCCGAATTTTCCAGAACTGCTTTGTGCCTTGTCACACACCACCCCCACCCCCACCCCTTTAAGCCTGGGTCTGATCTTTTACTAAAGGTCCAGGCCCCCAGATCCACCTCATAAGCTACAGACACTCAAAGGTTTGGCTGGTGCAGGAGTGCAGCGTGCAAGGCATAGCAGGTAGACGCTTCCCGGCTGGTGCTTTGCACTCCTTCGAGGAACAGAAAACTCATCTCTAGGCTGAGATTAGGGCTGGAGAGGAAAGAGGAAGGAGAATCTTGAATGTTCTTGGACTTTTTGCTATGGTTTGGTAGTGACTTCTAGGTGTTTGCATGGCTGTCCAATCGAGAGTAGGAAAATAGGGACTTAGTACAAGGGGGCCGTGGCTTGCTGGAGCGTTCTGCGGCGTTCAGGGGCCTCCTTACAGAAGGGTCCTCCTTACAGAAGGGCTCCAAGCCAGACAGCAGGGTCCGTGCATCAAGGCCTCCCTGATCTTACCCCCACGAGCCTAGACGTTGCTATTTGAGAGCTTCCATAATGCTTCCGGGCAATGCCCACGGCATCATTTCAGACACAGCTTCTGGATTAGCCCCTCCCCGCCACCCTGTCTCCCCTCTTCTTAGCCGGAGCAGTAGGGATCCAGGGAGGACGGAGGCTGCGTGTTCCTGATCCCTTCAGGCTTTCTGTGAGAGTCCGGTCCCTGTCCTGACAGACTTTCAGGTTTACCCCGCTGATCTGTGCAAATGAAGTGAAGCGTGGTGGCCCCTCACTGGCGTGGTCTGTCAGCTTGCCTGGAATAGAAACAATCTCCATTAGGGCCGTTTGCCTCCTCTGGCCGCTCCAACTGGCAAACAGGTTGAGTCTCCCCCTTGGCAGCGGGCTCCCATCTGCCCCCTGTTGGTCTGCAAATGTGACCCTGTTTTAACGCTAACGTTCAGCAGAGACATGAACAGCCACAAAAGCCATATGGATTTGAAACATTCACTTTGGAAAGTGACACTTTAGTTCAGTCATTTAGAGCCAGGATCTCAACCAGTTTCATTAACTCCCCAGTTTGCTGATGTCAGATGATTTAAGCCAAGAAATTCCCTCAATTCAAGGTGGAGAAGGTCAGAGCCACTCAGTTCAGTACACAGTTCTCTTTAGTTTCTCTTACAACACTCAAAACAAATGTCCAGGAACTGATTTCAGGACGCACGTTGTCCTCTGAAACCATTTACTCAGCATCTTGGTGGCATGGTACAAATCCATCCCAGAAAGGAAAGGATTCACAGGAATCATCCAGTTGAAACCAGCGTTAATATTAGTCACCTTCAGTGTCTCAGAGCAGGACTGTGTGAGTTCTTCCCAGTGGAGACAGTGAGTATGTGGATTAAAAGCCACCAGCCATATATTGCAACAGCTCTTCCTGTTTTAAGAAAGCAAGGCAGGTGACATCCTAAAAGCAGACAGATGGACTGGAGGAATCTGTCAGAGTCTCTCTGGTTCTGGAACTGAGCATGTCCAGCTCTGGTTTGCTCTTCTACCAAGTGCATTTGACAGGATCTTTGGGGTTACTACAGAGGACAGAGCAAAGACATGTGACTTTGCTTATAAAACAACATGGCAAATCCCTGTCGCCCTGCACCCCTGGGAGACAGAGCTGGTGGACCTGTATCAGGGCAGGGAAGTAAGGTCCCGCCTCCCTATTCCCCACAGTGGGTTAGTAGGGGACACTCATTGGGCCCTAGTTTACAATAAGCAGAGCCCAGGAGGGTATAAATATTCACATACAGGACGCATCCTTTGCCTCTGTTTACCCTGACACTGGCCCTGTGGACTAAAAGATCTTTGAGAAAATCGCAACATTAAATTCTCCAGGAGATTCTGAATGTGTGACTCGCTTCCACGCAGCCTGACGAGCGACCCTCACTGGCCAGAGAGATGTCACTGTTGTTTGATTCCTGGTGCCATTTGCTGTGACAGATTCCATCTTGCCGAAAAAGGAGGATCCAGGGATAAAATTTTGGAACTCAAAAGGAGAGCTGTGTTCACAGATCTTTGGGAGGGACCACGGCAGGAGGTGTGGGGGAAGGAGGCCTATTTGGTCTGTTTCTTATCTTTCTTAAAAGTGATCGAATGAGCATAAAACTATTTGCAGCCTTAAATAAACCTTCCGTTCAGGACACTGATGCATACGTGATGCATTCCTCTCAATCGAACATTGTATAGGCAGGTGTCTGGAGATGTGGTCACACAGGATTGGTACGGTGATAATTAGGACTGGCATAGATAGCGCCCTGAGAAACAGCTCGACACAGGTTAACACTTTAATATGAATAACTTTTTTTCTAATTGAAAAAAAATAGAGGAACAATGATTTCTTAATGCACTTTGTTTGTGCTCCTCCTTGTCTCAGTGACCTGACCCTGCATCTCAGAGTCTGTCCTCATGTGCCTATTCAGATCAGATACATTAAATATGCAAATCTCAGCCCCCTTAGGGTCCTGTTGCCGAGAAGTGAGATGTGCAGAGCGTGGTGGATGGATGGCAACCTATAATTATTATTATTATTTTTTCTGATGGCTACTTTGACACCTCAGTTTTTAATGCTCAGGACTTGTGCTCTGGAGCTTTTAAGATTTGACTCATATGATCTTATATTAAGGATATGCATTATCCTCTGAAGAAGAAAAACACATGACCTTTAGGAAATGAATTTGGACTCTGGGGGTCCTGGTTTAAGCTTCCTGAAAAGCACCGCCTTGTGGGCTCACAATCCTGTGCCTTCCATAAAACATTTCCTCTGCTGCAGGAAGAAAATGTGTAATTACCAGAGAGAATGTCACTGTACATGATGTACAGGTGATGTGGGGATAAGGCACAATCACAAAAAGCGACAAACGTCCCCTCATAGTCCCTCCTCCTCTTGCCTCCTTGAGAGCCAGGTCCCCTTGTGCGGAGCAGACCTGTCCCCTAGTAGCACTTGCAAGGACTCCCAGCCCTTCTTATATTCAGCTTCGACTGGATTCAGAGTTTTCTTGTCAATTAAAAAATGATAAATCAGCTTCTTTCTCGCAGGGCAGATGAAGATCAGCCAGTGTGAACCATATGAAGACCTGAGATTTTAGATGAGTCAGAATCAGCCTGAAAAATTCACCTGGCCGCCCCTGCGAAATGACCTTTATCCAGAGGAGCAGCTGAGATGCCGCACTTGGCTGCCAGGCGTTCTGAGGAGCCACCGGCATGAAGAACGTTGCAGCAGCATTCCCCCCATCTCCGCCCCGCCTCCCGCCTCCCACGGTGTATCCTTCCTTCCAGGCTCTTGGTTAGAATGGCCAGCTACATCCACATTGGTCTACACACTGCCCGGCAAATCCAGGACCACATTCAAGACAGATGTTTGTCCTTTTCAGCTTTTATTTTCAGAAGCACATTGTCTGGAAGTGATGCCCATTCACTGCTTATTCATTTTGCTTTCTGCTTCAGGGATGTTGATAGAGAGTGTGGATCTGAATAATTGCTTCCCCTCGGCCAACTCACAGAAGGTGCCCGGCTGCATTTTGTGTCCTGAGGGCAAGTGAAAATTATGTGTTGTGTGTGGCAATTATTTTCTATGTTGCTGCTCCTTCCCTGGCATATGGATGTGTCCAGAGGGTGACTGTTTATCAACTGGGTGGGGGAGGGGCAGGTGGGGGGGCAGATGCAGAGAGAGGTGGGCAAGTCCCGGTCCTTTTCTTCCACCTGTAGTTCCTTTCCAGTAGAGACTCTGATTTTGTGTGAATTAAAGCTGCTTGCGTAGACAAATTGATCTGCCTTCCTCAGGTATTTTCCTGAATAGAATTTTCACTAAAATGGGCTTAACTAATGACGGAAAGAATGTAATCCATCTGTGAACAAACCGTAATCCTCATGAAAAAAAAAAAAAGAAACCAGATGCAGAAGAACTTTGTACATTTCATTTACCTCTGCTCCACTTCCTTTCCGTTCACAAAATAATTGATTGCTTGCACAGCAGGGAGAGAAGCCAACCAGCACTTTCTGCACAATGCATCCTGCACCACTGGGGTCCGTTAAATGACAGGACAGTGAGGTAGTGAAAAAACGAGGCTCCCTTTTAGTAAGCTTTTTAGTTGATGAAGATAGCTTTGTGAATAGTAATGTTGACAATGAAAGTAACAATCAGTGCTTTTTGAGTTCTTACCATGTACAGGGTTCATGGCTAGAGTGCTTTATATGCATTCAGCCATTGAGTTGGTCCAGCAATCATACAAAGCAGACACTATGGTCATATCACGTCCGAAACAGAACTCTGGATTCCACCTCCCCAAGTCTATTCCATTTCTCAGTAAGAGGTACCAGCAGCTACCAAGCTGCTCTGGCCACGGACTTGGAACTATGTCATCTCTGGCTCATCTCTTTCCTTTTGTCTCCACATCTCATTTGACAGCAGATTCTGCCAAATATGACCGCAAGATTCCCAGCTTGGTGTTTTCATAGGATCCCTGCTTCCTTCTCAGACCTCAGCCTCCCATCCCTCTTCCCCTGCCTCATCTCCCAGCGATGCTGGCCTCTCCATTCCTGACATGTGTCACGCTTGTTGGAAATGTATTTTAAATATGTGTTGAGTTTTTCCATTCTGTTCAGAGTCCATTGCCGTGACCTCGGGCTAAATATCATCCCCCCCTGCTGAGAGTGTGGAAGTAGTTCCCCCACTGGTTCCAGGCTTCCATTCCTGCTCCCGTCGAAAGATCCAAAGGTAAGAATGAACTGTGACTCTAATCATGTCGCCCCACTGCTTAAACCTCCCATGGCTTTGTATTGCTCTTAGAGGAAACTTCCTAACTTGTCCGCAGATCTGATCACTGCCTACCTCTCATCCCTCCACTTGCCGTCACTGCCTCCCTCACTCTCCACGTCCCAGATATAATGGCCTGCTTTCTCTCCCTTGACCATATCCCACTTGTTTCTGCCTCCGAGCTTTGACTTCCTTCCTCCAGGAAACACTTCCCGTCTTCCCATGATTGGCTCCACATCCTGGTCATCACTTTAAACCTGCAAGTGAAAAATAAAAAGTAATCAGAGGGGAATAATGGGTAGCCGCATTTGCTCCAAAGCTGGCAGAAGGTTGAGGGACAGGTTTGGGAGGACTTTGGATGACAGACAAGCAGCAGATCTTGAAGATGGTGACTTTGGGTTTTGCCTACAGGAGTTGGACTGCACCTGTGTGTACAGGCACCTCTTGGGAAGAGATGATGTGCATCTTTCTCTGATCTGGTCATAATCATCATAAGCAAATTAAATGCTTATGTATTCGTATTAACTCACATACTCTGACTGAGGCCAACACTGCATGGGAGAAAACTCTGGAGGGTGCAGAAGTGTCAAATCAATGGACTACATGAATTGCCCCTACAGTTTAGGAATCTCAGGCTGATGGAGACAAGCCGTGCCTAAGGTTAAAGTTAGCTGGCAGAGGTAGAATTTAAACCCAGAACTGTCTGCTGCTCCTTCAGTAATGTGCTGGTCAAGGGTGGGCTCGCACATCATTCTTATTCTGTAGCAGTTCATCTGAATCACATAATTCACAGCGTGATTAAATATACTCTCCCTTAAGGTTTCACGTGCGTGTATTTTACCTTATCAACACATTTGTGGGTCCCTGGAATCTAAAGACCATTCTTCCACAGTCCTCGGCACTTAGAAGTCTCTTCGTAAGCATTTGCTATTTAGATAACTGTATTTCTGCTGCATCTCTAGAGACTCGGCCGTGTTGTTATTAAATCTTTGCTGAAGTTATTGGTAGCTCTGCAGCCATTCTGTATGCAAAAGTGACACTATAGAAAATAGAATTGCTAGGAGACAAAGTTCAATTTATACAGAATGAATATTGAGTTTCTCTGAATGAACTTATATACAGACAGACAGACAGACAGACATTCATCCCTTCTATTCTTAAATCCTTTGCAAGGGGGTTTCTTAATGGAATTATAAGTCATTATTCACATGACTACAGCCTGAAAATAGAATGTAACACCAGAATCAGTGAGAGAGGCAAAAAGTAAACACCAGTCCTCAAACTCCATCCGTCTTCTTGGACTCGGGTCCCTGGGCGACCTCAGATCGCTGCTCCTTTCAGGCAACGCCTGATGAGAAGTTTTCCCGAGTCACACCAGAGTGTCTGAGTCTCCCCCGCTGTCCGTGGGAGGCGGGGCAGTGGATCGCACAGTCAATGTGTTACTTCAACCAGGTGGTCATTTACTTATTTGCTAACTCATCATTCAATATTGATGAAAATCATATAGGCCTGGCCTTTCCTGACCATGAAAAACTGACAAACAGACACACGTAAAAATTCCTCGGCCCTGTGGTACAAGTACAGATAAGGGGAGTCTGACCTAGTGCGGGCACGGCCAGCATTTGGAGGTAAAGATCCTGGCTATTAAGCTGAATGTTAGTTGAGATGCAAAGTTACTTTCATCTTAGTGTAGAAAGATATTTCTGGGTGCTGCCATGGCTGTGGACATAAAAAAAAGAACAATTCACAGTTCTCAGCTTCTCTGACATGGCAGATGTCTCACTTTGTGTGGTCTGCCAACACCACCAAAAACTGGGCCTATCTCTGTGAGACCAAGAGAAGCAATGGGGAGCTACATTCACTCCCAACATCCTTGTCTGATTTATAACCTTTGCATTGTTCATTAGCTGCGTTGGGAGTAAAACAAAGAAAAAGTAACCTTGAGCCAAATCCACACTATTATTCTCTCCTGTCCTCTGATATGAAACAGTCAACTTGGTTTGACTTACCGCAACCATTCCATGTGCTGAGAATTCAAAGATAATAAAGTTGGAAATCCCTTTCCTTGACAAATCTTGAGGTAGCGACATACTAACACATACACACTCTCTCACACACACACACTCTTTTATTCACACATCCACAAATACATGTCAGGTACTCTGGGAGTGCTCAGGGAGGGAACAACTGATTCTGTCAGGGTTGGGGGAGGTTGGGTTGGCGAGAAGAAAGGGCATTTGAGAATTCTCCTTGAACTGGGTCTTAAAAACTGATAAGGAGTCCGGACCAAGAATGAATGACCCCGGGCAGAGGAAACAGGGTGCTGGAAAACAGCAGAATGGGGTAGACCATGTTCATCCTGTGTCTGCAGGTGCAGTTGTAGCCTGGGATTTGTGGAGTCCCTCAGAGAGGGTGAGGACAGCGATTGGAACTCACAGGGCAGAATCCTTGGAAACAGTACCATTCAGGGAGTTGAGAACCTGCAGAAGACTGAAAAGGAGGATTAAGCATGTATGTGGAGAACCAGGAGAGAAAGACACTGAAGGAGTCTAGGCAGGGGATGCTCAGTGGAAGGCACCTCCTGGAGCTGGCAGGTACGTGATTGCTGGTTTCCCTCACAGATGGCAAGGTCACAGCATGCAAAGTTGTGGGAGCACAAAGCAGTTGATATTATTTCAAGAACGAATGTGAGGAGAGGGAATGGAGACAAAGATGTAGGCTACCCATGTGGAAGGCTTGTCTTGTGGGAAGCCCAACGTGAAGATGGTGCCTAGCGGGGATGCAGACAACAGATATGGTTTACATTGAAAGGATTCTTGCAAGGAACCAGCAGGGAGATAGATGTTAATGACAAACTTGAAGAAGAAACTCATTGCTGGAGGCATTAGAGGGAAATGCTCTGTGTTCCTGGAGGAGTGAGCTTGGGTGAGACAGGAGCTAGTCTCCGAGACAGAAGCGAAGGAGGAAAAACACAGGTGAGGATGGAAATGAAAAATGTGGAGGAGCCTGGCCTCCAGGCCACTATTTTATATGAGAAGCAGGAGGCAATGTTTATTGTCTCAAATTATGTAATAAAAGGCTAATCTTAAAAATTCCGGACATGAGAAACAAATGGAGAGAGAGAGACTTCTGGAAGAAGAGGACCCTGAAACAAGGCTGCAGGCTTGGCTGGAGGCGAACATGCCTGTCCCTGTAGGTAGGAGGAGCGAGGAAGTCTGACAGGACCCCCTCTCTTGCAAAATGAACCTCTGCTTTCCAGGGAAGGGAAGCAGCGGGCTGCTCCGACTTTGCCAGCTGGAAGGTTTCTCCACACACGTGAGCCCTTTCGGTGCCTTTGTTCATGAAGGTTTTACGTTTGAATGATTCAAAATACTTGATAAAATACTTGCTTTTGAATATAACATCACAATAGTTGTAACCAAAGAAAAAACTGATTTTAAGATAGAGCCATGAATAAAGGTTACTTACAAACATATTCAAAGGGACAAAGTATAACAGAAAACACACAAAGGCTTATTTTTACCTGTCAGGCCAAACTTCGGCAGATTCGTATTTTGGATTCTATAGATTTCACCTCTCGTTGCAACTGCTATTCACGAAATGCAGTGACAGGAGCCTAACAGCAACTTTAAAAAAAAATGAAGTATCTTATCCTTAATTAATATCTACAAAGAGATTTAATGATGAAAAGTGCCGTTAACTGCCAACTATTACTAATTATTTTCTGCTGCAAGAGGCATAGAGACCTCATTATATACTGTCTTAAATATTATAAAATATTTACAAAATGACTTTTAAAATGGCAAACAAGCCGAATAAAAAGGCATTTTCCTTTTGAGGTGAAACTAAGATCAAAACCTAAAGAAGAACTCACCTGCATCCCACAAGAGCAGCCTTCAGCGACTGCTCCAAAGACACCGGGCACTTTGCTTGCTCTTTTTCCGTATTCCCTGTACCTACGCTGTGGCACAAACGGGAGTGAATTACTCCTTGACCTGCTGGCGCAACTGTTAATTTTATCTGATGGCAAAACATAGACTGCGATCCCACAGTTCCCATCCCTGTCCAGCCGCCTACTTTGGGACTCGGTCTCTGAATCAGCTTCTAAAACTCCCTGGCTTGGAGGAAGGGAAGACCCAGAGCTGTCTGTACTCTCTGGGTCTGCTCTAGGTGGGAGTCAGTCCCCAGTCCTGTCCCTGGTTGGTCCAGAATTGGCAGGTCAGCTCATTTATTAAACTGGACGGTAGCTCCGTGTCATGTGTCGTGCCAGTTCCTGTTCTCAAGTAACACACTGTCTACTGGAGAACTTTCCGGCCCTAGTTACTGGTGTCTGTTCGGGTGTTGTAACCAAATACCATAGGCCGGGTGACTGAAGTAGCAGACCTTTACTTCTCTCAGTCCTGGAGGCTGGAAGGTCCACGTTCAAGGTGCTGGCAGGCAGAGGGTCTGATGAGCACCTGCTTCCTGGTCCTCACGTGGCCGAGTTCTCAAGGGAGAAGAGGCCAGCATCTCTCTAGGGTCTCTTTTATGAGAGCACTAACCCCATTCATGAAGGCTCTGCACTTATAACCTAATCACCAAAGGCCCCACCTCCAAATATCATTACACTGGGGATTAGATTCCAACACACAAATTTTGCTGGGACACAAACAGTCCATAGCACCTATTTTATTACAGGCTATGCCTTATATCTTCTTGTGAGAGAGAGCCACCGTAGGGAAGGTCAGCCGGCAGGAGAAAATATTAAACTTTCTTTTTTTCATGTGTTCTCCGAAGGTCCACTGGCGCATCATTTTCTGGAATTGCCTTGGTGACTCCAGGGACCAGATGTTTCTCGGCCTGCAACCCACTGCTCCTGCGTTCAGCCTCCTGGCTGGCTGTTTGCTTGCTTGGATTCAGCCCAGTGCAGATGGCATCACTGCGAAATCAGAGAAGGATGACACATGGTTTCCTGCTCTTCCTTCAAGTCACTCCTTTACTTGTTAGAGCTTATTTCCTGGGAGTCCAAAAATTAAGTTTCACCTGGGCTACGTACTCTATAATTACATTATTTTCTTAATTATGCTTGATGACAAAGTTATCAAAATTCAACAAGATTAAAACCAAAATAAAATTGGGAAGCAAATGTCTCTTGCTGTACCATCACAGTCATTTATAAAGAGGACACTTGGCACATTTCTTGGAGGGGAAGTAACTAGACTCTTCTTTAAAACCACTCTGAGAGTTGGCTACATTGGCACCAAATATTCATGTTTTAGAAATACAGTATCTTCTCCTGTGTGTTAGTCAGCGTGACTGGGGATGTAAGCACAGGCTTGCAGGGCAGCATCTGAGAATGATGGGGAGGATGTTTGTGGTAATGTTGCCTAGAGAAGCTGAGTGCAGCTTCCACTGTGATTTGGTCTCCTTCTCCCCGTCCCTTGCTCCCCTGTCCTCTCCTCCCCACCCCCATCCCTCCACCCTCCCCCTCCTTCCTCTCTGCCTCTCACTTTGCATTCAATGTATTTTGACTTGATGCGAATAGAAGGCATCTATGTTAACTAAATTTTTCTCCCCGCTGAAATTGCCAGGAAGTTGAGACAGGAGATTTAACAGAAGCAACAGCTTCTGGATATGTGCCAGCTGAGACAGAGGAACATTTGAGGATACTGAAGTTTTGATCAAGGACGCTGGCATCAATTTGTGCCTATTGTGACAATGGAATTTCAGTGGGACTTGTTTGCATCTGGGCTCCCCAGTATTAACAGGAAGAGGGGCACTTAGAACATACAAGAATGAAATTTCCTTCAAAAAGGAAGGAATAAAATGGTGAAGGTTTTTACTATTTTCCAAACGAAGTAGTTTTTCTGGTTTCTGGTCTGCTGGGAGCTCTCACTGGCCAGGTGACCCTCAGAAACCTGACTTAATTGACAGTTCTCCTTTCTCTACATCTATTCTCACATACCCTTCACTTGGGGTGACCAAACCCACTAGAGGATTCTTTAATAGGAAGTGGCAGGGTCGGCTTCAGATGATAAGCACCAAGCATTGGCTTCACGCACAGGCGGAGTGAGTGGAAGCCTGATCTGAACACGGTGATGGAAGAAGCACTGAGGACACGACCCCACGTCTCACCACTAATTCACCTTCCCCAGTGTCTGAAATTCTTCTATTGGAAAGTCTTGTTTGTGTGTTCTCATCAACAAAGTCTAGATGAAACTGCCTGTTGAAGTCTTTCTTACAAGGGCGATGGGAATTCATTACCTGTTTTTCTCCAGACACTTGGAGATCCCTAATTCTGAAGATGAAAAGAAATAACACCAATGTGAGTGAAGAGGCATAAAGCCTGACCTTCCTTGTTTTACAATCAAAGGAGGGTTGGCTTTTAGCTGGGATGCTGTCTGGGTACCAGGGATCTTGCTCATGGGAGGGAGCCCCTTCTCAGTGTCTTGGTGAAGGGAAGAACCATGATTGCTGTTTTT